CTTCGATCAATTTTGTTTAGTTGGTTATGCTTTAATGGATTTTTCTTTTGTTGGTTTTGTTTTTGTTTATAATTATAAATGTCTTATTAAATGTTTTTTTTTTGAAAAATAACAGGTTGTTTTATTAATAATAATGCACAATTAATACTACTAGTTGTTATGACTATGGCCCTAAAAAAATAAAAGATGTATTTCAGTCATCAGCGTTACTAAGAAATCAGAAAGTAAGCTGGAGATATTCACACATTAGCTGCGTGCAATGTTGCCAATTTTACTTTTATAAAATTACGTTTGTTTCGTAACGTACAGCATAAAGATTTTTTTTTATTTTTTTGGGACTGAAGAGTTAATCCGCCATTTTCCAGACACCCGGTATAGTGTTCCAAATGCTGGTTTGTTTTTACGACTGCATCCTATTGTGAAGGAGTTAAGTCTTCCACAGTAACACTGTCGCAAGTAATTCAACGGTCATAAACCACCAAGAGACCAACTGTCTACACTACACAGGGCGGTACGCACTCGTAAACCCTTAAGATGATTTATGGCACTTTTCAATAGAGTTCCTAATGCTTGCGGTAATCGAGATTGCAATACCATAAAAACGAAGTCACACTCGGACAACTATACATGAGCCTGATGCTCATGATTAATCAGAAAAATAAACTGCAAGGGTGGTGCGGTGTGTGCATATTTCGTCGATATTTTGATACAATCTGAGCCTTAATTATTATTACTTTACTAATCTCACACCGTTCCCATTATTGAATCAAAATCATCAATATTACACAAGAACGGAGATGGTGCATATAGTACAAGGTTGACTAAAGCCAGGAGTGGAACGCATTATTTGGCTGTTGAATATTATGTTATTCCCAGCTTAATTAAACAACATCCACCAAAAATCCTTTTACATAAAATGAAAAAATATCTAAAACAAAAAACCTTCTACAGTTGTCATGAATTTTTGAGAAATGATTTTCGTGATTTTGTTTAAGAAGCTACGAATTAACTTTTAAGGAGATAATTTCGTTTTTATTATAAGAAAAATGTAACAATAATAATTATTGTTTTTATTTTGACTTGTGCAAACTAACTAATACCAATGTAAAATTTTTTAGAGCGGGAAATATCCGTTCACGATCTTTATATAGTAGGGTTGGTAATGAAAATCTAGCGAGTTTGTTGGTATTCGATGCAGAAGAATAAAAATTCCCTGAACTTTTTTCGTTGGGTTATGTTTTATTAAATTAAAGGTTAAAAAATATGCCAGAAATATAAACATTGTTGTCGATCTTTCAGTTTTCAGTAGCAATGCCCAAGTTAACGGTATCCATTTCTTAGAAAGCATAAAACTTTACGCTATTTAAAACAGTGACTCGCCTTTTTGTAATTGTTTATTTCATATGTAAGGAACAAACACTAAAATTTCACTTAAACATTTTTTTTTTTATGAATGGGGGTTCTACATACGACTATTGTCGCATGCCACATTTAGCATCTCATCTTTAATTCTCAATCATCAGTTCGTTTTGCCCGCCCACTCTTCTTAGAAATGGAAATTTCGACCTTTCTGAACAACCTATTTCCATATCTTCCAACTTCTTTTTTCACTTTTCTAAGATTACTAAAAGGGTTGGTAAAAGACAACAACCTTGCTCTAGTGCTTTGATGGGTTTAGCTCTTCTGAAACATTTTTCCGGCCTTAAATTGAATGATTTATCTATATAGCTATTACTAATGCTTACGTAAGTGTTCTTTATTTGCTTTTACTAAGTACATATTTCCAAACGCTTATTAATAAGAACGTTACTATACGCCTTCTCCAGGTCCATGAAGAGTTACAAAAAAAAAAAAAAAATGAAAATGCTTAAAATTTGGTGCAAAGTAACAACGTGGATGATCTAACTAAAATTATACTTATTTTGTTGTACGTCATGTAGTTTTTCACATACTACCTTGGTAAATTTAGAACGAAAGATGCGTAAAAATATCACCCCCCGACAAGCTACAATTCACTCCATTTCCATTATTTCGCTATGAAAATCTGTATCATCACCGTCATTTTCAAATTCAGATTCTGAATCAGATTCACTTAGCGAAATAATGAAAGGAGGTATAGATTCGTACGAAAGATTTCCTATATTTTTTTCCCAATCTGCCAAAATGAGTTTTTCACAATGTTTACAAAAATTTTGCCACATGCTGGGGTTACATTTAGAAAGCGCCTCAAGCCATAAATTCTCCACCCTATTTTTTAATGAAGATTGAGAATTTATATGCTTGTTGTAATAGTTCTTACAAAATCCCCACGCCATTTCAATTGGATTATATTAACAATGGTACGGAGGTAATCTAAGAACTTCATGGCCACTTTCTCTTAATGTCTCGTCTACCAAATATCTTTTTTTTCTATTGTTTCTAAAGGGTTTAATTAAATCCCATAACTGTTTCTTCGAAATTTTTTTGTCAAATTCAACACTATGTTTAAAGAGCCATTCCTGAATTTCACATTTTTTACTAGAAAAAGTGGGTGGTTTATCCAACTGAACCGAATGATACGGTGCATTGTCTAAAACCACCACACATTTTTGGTTCAACTTTGCCAAAGCAGGAATGAGCTGATTAACCACCCATTTTTGAAAAATTGTCACGTCCATCGTTTTATGATAATCTCTATCGTTATTTTTTTAATTTAAAAAATTGTTACAACCATCCAAGAACCCCGTTGAACAACCTGCGTGGAGAATAGTAAACCCTGATCCTTCACTATTAATTTTGGTGGAATTGCTTTTTAGATCAGTATCGTATACTATCCTCAAACATATTTGGCGTTTATGACTTCACACCAATTTGACTCCCATTATAATTCAATAGGCCGTCACAACCGGATGTCTTAAACCCGCTCACCGATCCCTACCTGAAAAGACCTTTTCTGGTAAAAGCACAGGGCAGGACTGAGTTTTGCATTTACCGACAACTGCGCCTTTCGAGTTTTTTATTTTAAGTAAAAACAAAGTAACTTTGTACTCAATCATTTTTTATTACAGCACAACTATTTACTTATTAACTACTACTGCTTATTTATTGATCGAAATAGTCACTGTCATCATCACTCGACTCTTCTAAATTAATAATTAACGGTGTTATCAACCGTACCCTGTACTGGTCTTCTTCTTTTGTGGAATGTCGTACACAATTGGCCCACATTTCGGCAGTTATTTTGGAAGCTTCTTCCCTAATTATGTCAATTGTTGCACTACTAAATTTTGGTGCCGTATTATTCCCTCTTATATTATTTTTCATTTGCGACCAGATTAGTTCGATGGGGTTAAATATACAATGGTACGGCGGAAGTCTAATCACCCTAAATCCACGATCTCGCGCCATAGCATCTATTTTATATTGTTTTTCAAATTTTCGAGTGTGTAACACTTCTAATAATTGTGTCTTTGTGTAATTTTCTTCAAAGTATAAATCATGTTCTGTAAGGAAATTTTGAAATTTGAAAATTTTAACAAACAAAATTACTCTGAGTCTGGTCCTTCGCGTCTCGACCGTCCCTGGCACGTCGAAAAGGTCTTTTCAGGTAGGTATTGGTGAGCGGGTTTAAGACATCCGGTTGTGACGGCCTATTGAATTATAATGGGAGTCAAATTGGTGTGAAGTCAGAAACGCCAAATATGTTTGAGGATAGTATACACCCAGCGACGAATGGACGAACCATTTTGATAGATCCATGTTTCATCCAAATACACGAAAGTCAAATTTTCACAAGAATTTAGAAACTATTTATAAATATGTTCTCAAAAAAGTAATTTTGGCTGCAACGACATGTTTTTGTTCACATAGAATTTTGCGACCATTCACTTCCCTGTGTTTATAACCCATTGACTTAAGAATTTTGTATAATGTGGTTCGCCCCCCCTTCAAATTCCAACTGTTCCCTAGAATATGCCAAAAGAGTATCTACAGTGAAATATTCGTTTTTTTTTCATTAAGTTGCCAAATTTGTCGTTGCAGGTCTTTCCGAAACATATAATTTGTAAATAAATCCGTTGGTTTTCGCTTGTTAGATATTGATGTTTCTAAATTTTGGTCCCCTGTTGATAAAATTTTCGCCACAGTTGATGTTCCCACCTATGAGAAAAAAAATATATATATTTTACAGCGTATTTTTACATTACAGAAAATATGTTCGAGACCCTCATAGTTACTTCTTCGAAAGAAAGATCGAGAGATAATAATTCTGATCTAATAAATGAAGTAGAAAATTGGCACTCCAGCGCAAAGCAAATGTCAATCAGACTACTGACAGACAAAAAACTAAATCATCAAATCAGTTTATCCAACTTAAAGAAAAATTATCAGTCTGCTTTACTATATAAAGATCGTGAATGGATAATATAAACGTGTCCATTATATCCCGGTGTCCAAACCATCCCCGATCTCCCCTACAATGTTTGTTTTCAACTTTTTCTTTCACCCTGTACAACCAGGATTATACTCCACCTCAGTATAAGAACTTGGCCGCTCAACATTGGTATAAGGGAAACAATACTTTACCTTGTCAACTTAAATGTCACCTAAATACTAATTTATACATACGTTTGAAAATACAATTAATTTAAATTACCTTAATGAATCATTTTTTTATCGGTTTGATAAAACTTTCATATCATGTAGTAAAGCTTATTTCGAACAGATTTTTGCGACATCCCTTATCGTTTGTTAAGTGAAGTGTCCGAACGACTTTCGGTTTCCCCTAGAATAAACTTATCGAACCCGACATTAGGACATTACGTTAGTTGAAGTTATCTCTGGGATAATTGAGGGGCAGGTTTGGATAGAAAAAAATATCCAAAGATACATCGATGCGACAATTTTTTATAGTAATTTATCATGCTTATGTTATCCGCAATATAGTAACACCACATCTGTGGCGTACTCTTAACGAACCGCAACCTCAAAAATGCCTTCCTTGGAAGAAAAGGTCGCCGTCGTCGCCAATCGCCACAAACCCTGACCCTCGCACCATTTTCAAATTGGCGCCACGCATGCGCCCAGCCAACTACGCCGCCTGCATATCGGCCAGTGTTGTAACCAGCAGTGCATCCGTCATCGTCAGCAAACGGTGTGGCGTCATCTAAATTCCAAATTCGCGATATCTCGATGGCCCGATAATTCCTACAAACCCGACAAGAAGAAACAATCGCGTGCGTTTTTGGCCATGGAGAACTCAAACTCGGAAGGTGTCGTCCTACCGGACATTTCCGAAGCCGAACAGCTTGCGAGCGAGCACGATGGCGGCGAGAATGGCGAATCCGTCGTCGAGACGAAACACCCGCGCGTCTCGACGGTCTCCGTCCGCCATGCCGGCGTCCCGGTGTCGCTCCCGGTGGGCTCGCTCATCACCAGCACCTTCAACGTCATCACCCAGGACCAGCTGCCCCACTTCAAGCCCATGCTCTGCGTCGACAACAACGGCTATATCGCTACGGACGGCGCCGGCGGCGAGCTCAAGACCATCGTTATCCAGGGCGACGTCTCGGAGGCGAGCGCCGTCTCCACGCCGGTCACGGTCTCCGGGCCTAACTTGGGCTCTTGGAACGAGGCGGCGAGCCTGCCGGTGCTGCCGGTGCGCTGCAAGAACACCTCGGCGGAGCTCCACAAGAACAGGTTCGGCTCGGGGGGGCGAGGGCGCTGCATCAAGCTGGGTTCCTCGTGGTATACGCCGAGCGAGTTCGAAGCGCTGTGCGGGAGGGCGTCGAGCAAGGACTGGAAGAGGAGCATACGCTTCGGGGGTAGGAGTCTGCAGACCTTGATCGACGAAGGTAGGAAACGCCGATATTTTTTCATTTAGAGTTGTGTTAAACTGTGCAAAATTGAGAGTTTCTATCGGATGCAACAAGTGGCTCAGCGTTTCCTTATTTACTGGAAATTATTGCTTGGTTCGGTTCTTGTGATTAACGGAAATGTTGCTAGCACTCGTTAAATAACCTTGATTATAATCGACTTTTTAACAACAATAGATGTGTGGTTTCTGCTTACTTAAGCTAGTGGGATTTATGGAGATTGTTTGGTCACACATACCACATGGAACGCGATGAAAAGTGAGGTTAGAATGTTAGAATGTTTACATGACTCGAAGCAGGGCCGGCTGGAGTTTTTGTCGTCCCACGGTAATACTTTGTCATCTTTTCTGTTAAAATTTTGTGTTGTTGAGTGCAAGGTGTTTTGTTTAATGATACGTCAACGTAAGTTTGTTGTTTTTGATATTTTTGTTTCGATTGGTATAGCTCGGGCCATTGCAAAATGTGTTATTTCGTGTTTTATGGGTTCTTATCAGATATATTTTTATATTGGGTGAAAACAAAACACTGATAAACGTCACAAAATTGCACCGTAGTGTCATTTTTTTCATAAATGTCGTAAATGGGGTTTATGGGTTTATAGGGGTTTTGAGAATTGAAAATGCAGGGTTAACATCCTCCAATTTGCTATATACAGTAAACCCTCGTTAACACGAACCCGTCGGGACCATGATCTTGACCAATTCGTGTTAACCGAATTCGCCATAACCGAAAATCACTTTTTGACATTTTAACACAAATATAACAAAAACTACTTATGTAAGCTGATTTTTTTTTCGTATTAGATTTCTAACAATGCATAACCAAATTTTGCACATTAATACTAGTACTACATACATATAAAATTTCATGGATCAATTTTCCTAAACAACTTTGTGAAAAAAAGTGACGCAAATGATCCCAACACTATTTTTTTTATTTGAGATCGGGTTTTCAGAATGGTGGACTATGTAGATTTTGGAAGGGTGAACTTTTTAGCTACTGCAGTTTGCATTTTCGTTTTAATATTAATGGATTTTTGGCCTCGTTTTGGTTTTTGCTATGCCATTTTGGACGTTAGCACATTGAACAATAAGAACGAACTGATTACAACTTGGTAAACCACACAGAGACATACTTTTGTGTTGTGCTTACTAGATACCCATTAAGATAAAGTAAATCGTATTTGAGCACGATGCAAAGAGTTTGCACTTTTTGTTCGCGTTAACCGAGTGATTTTATATGAGAATTATAACTTGGGGCCGAAAAAGTTGTTCGAGTTTCGTATTAACCGAATTTCGTGTAAACCGAATTAGGTTGCATTCGTTTTATAAGTGGACTGTTTGGGACTTCGCTTCCAGTTCGTAATAACGAGGTGTTTGTCTTAACCGAGTTCGAAGTAACGAGGGTTTACTGTACTATTAAAAATTTAATGTGTTTTTAAGCAATAATAATACATACATACAATATAATTCAATCACTGCAAAAGTACAGTTGCGGCTATAGAAAACTGGACCACTAGGTGTGACCACAGTATAAACATCATTTAATAGGGACAACGGACTATTGTTTACTAATTGTTTGTAGTTTTTTGTGAAAAGTTAAAATGTATATTAGCGCTTCCTAATAACGTTGAATTTTACAGCCATCAAGAAATAGAAAATAAATTAATAAAACGTAAAGTCGTTATCCTAGAAACGGGGCATCTCTGATGTAGGGCGTTTAATTCATTATTTATTATAATAGAGTCTATGGTTTCTAGGATGTTATTGTTATTACACTATTTACGAAAATTCATTTACACAAAGTTAGAAACAGGACTTGTGCTTGTTCAAAATATTTATGTATCTGTTTTTTTTTAAGTTAATTGTCGACGCATTTAGTTTTTAAATATGGACATTTTAATTCCACTATAGTATTTTCACCTATAGGACAATCCGGACTAGCGTCTTGGCTTTAGGAAACCATATTCCTAGTGAACAAAAAAAAGTCCTGAATTGCCCATAAATCTCAAAGATAGAAAAAATAATAGAATAAAAATAATTTGGCCACATTAATTTTTTCATTTACGCAATGTATTTTTTTACTTTTTTAGAAATAACCCTTTTGATTTTATACGTATGTATTTATTACATTATTTTGATAATCATCACAAAACTAGAGATATCCTGAGAAAGAATGTATAAATTGTGCGAGTAAAAAATAAATTAAAATCTGAAACAAATCATCACGTTTATAGATTAAAGATAGATTTCTTTCTTTTTTTTTGCGATTGACGCTATTACGATTTGAGCTTTTTGTAGTAAATTGCGTACACGAAACAATTTTTAAATTTTCAAATGAAGCGATTGTGATACTTGTTAAATTGGATGGCGACGTCTAAAAACAGTTCAGACAGCGACCACCGATGACGGTTTAAAATTCGGGTCAGAAACATCAAAGACGCCGTCAGGAGTTCTCCCCACTGAATGATCTTTATACTGTGGTTTGACACACACTTCCAAATTTTAAACAAATTTAGGATTCAATTAATGCTTTGTTTGACAATCAAATGCCCGTTTTGACAAAATTACTGTCCTGTTTTTCAAATCAGGAGCGTACATTCAAATTCAGTCGTTTCCAAAAAATTTCGGGCAAATAAGGTTGTCATAGATCAATGCAAAGCAGTGGGAATATGATTTTCATGTCTTGGAAACGACGTTATTTAAAAAAATAAAAACTTAGCAACTAAAACTTTGCTATTTTAAAGCAGGCGAATTTTCTGTGGCCGCGACTGTACCTATAATATAATTTTTAACTATATTAAACTACTTTTAAAACTAAAAGATCTTTTAGTCATCTATAATGCCAAATTTCAAGTCAGTATCATCATTAATTGATGTGTCATTATTAAGGTTAATGATTAGCTCTGCAACTTTTACTATTAACATTATTCTCGTCAAGACTGTTCTTCATTACAGTCCAATTTTTACTTCCCGAGTGTAACTTTAATCTTTTCTTACGTAGAATAGGTAAAAGTAGGTCTTCCGTTGCAGTCTGTGTAGATTTTTTGTATGTAGTTTAGGAATGTCGTGTAGATGGTATAAGGCTAATAAAAATTTGGCTAATCGTTTCCACCAACAACGGAATGACGTCATCTCCAAAATTTACGATAGTAAATCGTATTTACATTTTATAAAATCAGATACTGCTGCACTTGTGGTTTCTGAGTGTTGAACTTTTTTTTACCCAATTCCAATTTAACTTTGAAACTGTAAAACTGAATACTCTGAAATTTTGCAAACATTGTGAGTTCATTGATGACGTCATCAATATGAATTTATATTTGTAGTTTATTAAAGAATTATCATTTACTAATTATGACAATAATATTTTTAATGGCCATCATATTGATGAATTAATTGGAAAAGGCAATATGTTCAATTGAAACAAAATTATTTTCGTATATAATACAACTAATACTTGCGAAATAAGTACCAGAAGAAACCAATAATCATATAAATATTTTCTCTAGAAATCGATCAAACTGTATAAAAACAAAATAAACAACCACATAAGGATATAAAAAAGATTTCATTAAATATTAAGAGAAATAAGTTGCTCAAAAACATGTCATAAAGGGTATACTTGACTCAAAATGATAAGGTATTCTTGTCCAAATCGTACTCCGTTTTTACGACTGCACCCTATTGTGTAGGAGTTAAATCCCTTCACAATGGGTCCGTGCCTCAAGTAATCCAGCGCTCATAAACCATCAACAGACCAACTGTACACTACACAGGGTCGTACTTTCTCCCAGCATGTTAAAACCACCATTTCACCATTGTGATTTTTGTCCACACCCCACACTTCTGTGAATGAAAGCGGATTCGGTCCTGCATAGGTAGCTCTCGAAAACCTTTAAGATGATTTATGAGACGGCTGTTCACACTTTCAATAGACCTCCAAATGCTTGCGGTAATTGTTATTGGAGTGTCATAATAACGGAGTATGATTTGGACCCCTATAGGATATGTAGTAACTAGCAACCACTCAAACAAAAAATGCAAAGTTAGACAGTACAATAAATTGAGGCAACTAAAAAAGGAAGCCCTTAGAACAGTTAATAAAAATTTTAAAACAACCAACACCCAGCAAAAATATGAATTAAAATTCTGACCTTGAAGGCTTCTTTTTCTGCTACAGTCTAACGAATCCCCTCTTCTTACACGAAGCCACTGCAACAAAAAATATAGGATCGTTTTTTTATATAGGCAGGATCCTGATTTTAATGGTATTGTTGACGTTATTTATTTAGTTGTCACTTAGTGCACCCTCTTTTAGAATATTTATGAAGGGCACATACCCTTGTCAAATACAGCGTTCCCAAAATGTCGCTGATACAATAAATTAGTGTTGGCATTGTGCAGGGGTTTCACTCATTATCTGTCATAAAGTTTTATGTGGGTGTATCTCGAATGAGAATATTATACAATGAAACATATCTAGCATTTTCGAATGGATGCACTCTTCAGAGGCGTCCGTCATTGTTTCTCTGTCATAGTGAACTCATTCGAATTTGTGCTAGCGTGTTGTGTTACTGTTTGTGATTTAAAAAAATAAATTTAAAAACCACCCCCTTCTGAAGTGTGTATGTTACGCTACTGACTGACAGCCTTGTCCTTCAAAACTAGGTAATAGCAACTCTGTGATAGCAACCTGACGTTTAAGTGTTTATTTATGTTTATACATCGAAAGAGTGTCACGTTCAAATTAGTTTGATTTGATTGAGTTCTTTTCAAAACACAGGACTAAAATTATTAATTAAACCACAATCGAACAAAATGTTCTGAATATTATAATTCTTATTTTATCATTATTATATAAAGACGTGCGTATTCTTCGCATTTTCGAGAAAATGGGATGACTCGTTCTTAATTTAACCAATAAAAAATTTGTGACATCATCAACATGGATAATACTAGTCACAACACAAAAGAAAAGTAGTCACAGCGTATTATCACTGCAAGAAAAAACAAGGACACCTATATCAACTTGGATTGGTGCAGTATATTACTAAAAATAACAAAATTTTCTGAGAAAATGGAGTGGGCCGTTCCTGATTTAATCATAATTTTTTGAGCCACTTTAAAACATTTCCAAGATTTCAAAGCATTCGGTTTTATAGTTCCTAATTAAACCAATAAAATAAATTCACGCATTCATTAAATGTTTTTGAGTCATCCTGTATATGCAAATCTAAAAAATATGAATGCAATGATAAATCACAAGTAAAAACTCATCATATTTTGCACATTTTGGGTAGAATTTATTCGTCGTCAACAATTTTTTGGAAGGGATAAAGCAAATATATTTTGGTTAAAAAATTATCATGCTTATCATAACTTTAAAACATCTGCAAGATTTCAAAGCATTCGGTTTTGCAGATTCAAAATTAAATTGCAAAGTGTTGTTTAATAATTTTGATTTTTTTTCCAAAAATCTGGACGATTCCGGTAAAAACTCAACACATAATGTCATAAATAGAGCTGTGCGGTTGAAATTTATTTACCCCCACTATCGGCCCACAGTGCCGATCACTACACAGCCTTGCCTTGCTCGCTTCTCGCTTTTCAGTTGTGGATTATTTTTGATAATTCACACAAATAGTTTTATTGTCAGCGAGACGGACACCTGAACATTATTAAAATTATGATTACTCTTATTTCGTGAATATGGATTTTAAAATCATCAACTGACATGCCGTTAACATTATTTTTCGCGTAATTTTCTTCGCGATACATCACGTCGGTTGCAAGCCTATGGCCTGCCGGAGTGGGGGTCAATTCGCAGCGTTTAAATTTCAACCGCACAGCTCTAGTCATAAACTATATGTGTAGGACTAAGTTCTTTTTTACAATTTAAAACCCATTTACTATGTACAATTTTGAAGTGACGTCATCACATTATTGGTGGGGATGATTAGACAAATTTTGGTTAGCGTTGCACCATCTGCATAATATTCCTAATTTAAATACAAAATTTGACAACAATCGGCCCAGTATTTTTGGAGATTATCTGCCTAATAAAAATCCGGGACGGCAGACAGACAGACAGACGGAAACGGGAGACCGATTTCTTTGTACTGTAGGGGTCATGAAAGGTCGAGAAAAGGTAAAAGTAGAGAGTCGGTCGACGGACGGAAATCAATAATCAAAGGACACTGATCAAGTAAAATACATTTATGTAAAGTACTCCAAGGTTATATGACCATCATAAAAGTAGTTGACCGCAAATAAATACCCCCTTTGTGTGGTTCGCACTAAGCTTACCAGCTGGCAATAAATCGTCTTCTAAACATTGCTTGCTTAGATTTAGATATTTAGTAAAAGCCCCCCTGAACGAAACGACAACAGCCGGTCGAGCTGCAGTGGACACGTTATTTACGACCCTAAAACCTTTTCTATTGTAAACAACTTAACTTCGTCACAATGGGATAATTTTAAGGTGGCCATATAACCTTATAGCTTTTGGGTTACTATATTTCGATGAGACACTTGGTAGATTTTATTGATAAAGTTTAATCCCTAATTGGCTCACAAGTTTTTTTAGTTTGTAATGGAATACAATAACATTTTGTTTAAATATGATTTACAACACATTTAGCCCTAATGTAACATTTAGTCTGCAGGATGATCTTATAAATAGACCTACATCTAGACCTAAAATGCCACAGCAATCAGTCAGATTGTTTCGGAGATTAACGGTCCAATAAAATTTCCAACAAATGGAAGTCGACAGACACAGAAGATCGATATTTTCGTAGTCTATAAGCAGTGAAATGTCGAGAAAACGTAAAGTTGGACATTCGTTACGAAAACAATAACAAGAGTTTTTCACTTGCAAAATTTGTATGTCAAATTAATAAAAAGTAATTGCCTCATTAGTTCATTACACACAATTTTTATGAAGTCATGCATTATGTCGCTGTTAAATGTCTATTAAGGCCGATGGACGTTTTTTTTTAGAATGTCAAGGTGGATGGCATTCTATACTTAAATTTTATTAGTTTAATAACAAAATTGGAACAATAGCTTAGTTTACATAATGCCAACGTGGTTGGCGAAACGCGTCTGCAAATATTTTATGCGTTTTCAAGCGTTATTATTATTATCATTATTAAGAATAGTGTCCAACGGGTAAAAAAAGAACCTATTGACTGGACAAAACGCACATTTAGTACAAAAACGCTGGCATTTGGTCTGGTCATTTTGGGTCTCAAATTTTTGTCTCAATGTTGTGGGATAAACTATATACATATTATGATAGAGCACCAAGTGATCAAAAAGATTCCACACGAGTTGTAAATGTTTGACGCCATACTGAAATTTTAAAAGTAAAATAGAGTTTCTGTTTCCAATAGTACAACTTGGAACCCCTAAAGTCAATGTTCGCTATTTGGCGGACTCTACTTTCGAGATTCTACTTGCTACTGGCTGATAAGTATATTGTAATTTAGGATCTATTTATATAGTTATTACAGTCTTTAACTTCATAGGATCATAAAGTGTTATGATGGATATAAAAATAACAGTCCAATAATATCCATAAAGTGTACCGATACGCGCATTAAACCTAACACAATGCTGCACACTATATTAAATGAACAAGTCCCAGCGTTTTCAAATACAATTATAGTTTTTCACTGAAAACCAAATAGGTAGCCTTGAGTAAATTTGCGCTACGAACTGCTTACAATATGTTATTTTTTTGTCGCTCTAATAGAGAATAACTGACACTAAATGAATTCAAAAATTTTTTCAGGTATAATCCTACCTCATGCCACTAGTTGCACTTGCGCCGCTTGCTGTGATGACGAATCAGCCACAGGTCCAGTAAGACTATTCACGCCTTACAAACGCAAAAGACGAAAGGAACATGATTCCTCGGGTAAGCGCACATGCGGAGAAGACAGTGATGGAAATCATCAAACAAAAGAAGAGGCTTGGCAGAACTTGGCGGAAGGTTTGGATTCAACCGACTACCAACTGATGGAGCCGGTTGTAAACACGGACCCAGCAACGGCTTTAAAACGATTAGAAGACCTCGCGTGTCAGATAACGCGACTAGCGAGTGATTTTCGGAAAGGTGTAGACGAACTGCGAGAAGCTGTTAACAGACAATCAGAAAAATTCCAAAGAGAAAAAGATGCAGCTGTGCTTGCTGCTAGAGTGGAGGCGCAAGTGGCGGCGCTGCAGCCTGACGGCAGTTCGGATTCTACGTTGCAACCAGCTCTAGACGATAATCAGAAAAAGGTAGGCGTGTTGAGATGTTGTCACTGTGAGGCTAATTTTTTGTTTTAGTGCGCCAATTGCAATCGAGAAGCCTTGGCGGAGTGCTCGCTGTGTAGAAGAACGCCGTATTGTTCAACGTTTTGTCAGCGGAAGGATTGGGTTTCGCATCAAGTTGAATGTGTGAGAGGTGTAACCACAGACGCCAACTCTCAGCAGTCGATTATGCTGATAGTCGAAAGTACAGAACAGCAGTAAATCATTGATGCGCGTAGTCATTTAAGAAACTTTTGGTTGATGCAAATGGGTCAAGTTTTTGCGAGTGAACATATTTTTACATATCAATCAAAAGTAGCGGAAATGACGCCCGTTGTTGAATAATTATTCTTTTATAAATTAACTACCCACACATATCTAATGTCTACTTTTCGTGGATTTTTTCTTGTGGGTGTTTAGATTAGGTTGGTTATAAAATAATATGTACATATTGTATATATTTCCTTTTTTAAATATTGTTTATTGCTTACTTGATTAAGTAAAAAATGAATATACGGATTTTCTGAATTTTATTTGTGTCTGTATCAAAGCGCTGTGATTAAATTTTGACTGAGATTATATTCGTATAAATTTAGTTTGTCGTTTCCCAATATAGAATTTCCTAATTTTTTCGAATCAAGGAGTGTATAAAGCCCGTAAATGACCAGAACATTCAAGTCTTCAAGTCTTTGTAATCTTGTATCTTTATATGAGCCTATGTCTACTTCTTTATTCAAATTTTGTTTATAATTTTTTTTTTTTGTTCGTCTTCAAACATGACACCATTACTTTAAATAGTTTTGCAAATCCTGTAAGATTGTACAGTTGTTTTGATATTGTGAAACTAACAATGGAGCATATAGTAAAACAAACCCACAGTTGTAAATAATTGCCATAATACCTACACCCGTCTGTGATTCGTTCGGGAAAAAAACATTTTGACGAAGTCAACGAGGATGAGAATATTTTTCGATTACAAAATGAAATAAATTTGGCAAAAAATGAGTTTAAGTATTTATATTTGATGCAGCCAACAATACTTTGCAGAGCTTATGTACATAAATTCGACATCTATTTTTAATAAATACGTAAACAAAGCCGTCGTCTTCGTAGACTCACTATAATATAATTATTACTTCACGAACGTAAGCTAAGGAAGTATAGTAATCGAGTTCATCGGACGAATGGCCACTTTTAAGTGGGATTTATAAATTTGCTGTTCACGTTGAAGTTCCCGTTGCAGTTGTTGTTCCCCCTGACATTGCTTTTAGAGCTGAAAATTGTGATTTATAAACTCCGTTGCCAATTTGATGTTGATATATAGTAACTTTGATGTTCAACTTTTGTCGAATTTAAAGGGGTTGTAGAAGAAAAGTGGAGGATTTAAGTTGATTACTACAAAAATTTACCATTTTAGACATGTTTTAAGTTTATTGTTGTCGAAATAAGTCTACACATATTAAGTGTAGCCCCGCCCACCCGCCCTATCTCAATTGTGATGATTTTTTTATGCGTCGTGAGCCAAAAAAAAAAAAACTTAAAGAGCTTAACTGCAAAATCCTTATTTCTCTACGAGAAGTGAAAAACATGTTTTTGAGTATCGTGTTGTTCAAAGAATACTATGTATACATATTAAGAAAAAAATAAAGCCAAAGGTTAGGCCCCACCCATACCCGCACGGATCTCAATTCCCAATTGTGATGAATTTTTCATTCGTTGTCAGATCGAGGGGCGGGGCTTAATTGCAAGATCCATATTTGTGTACAAGAATTCACCATTTTGAACACGTTTTAAGTTTCTTGTTCAGATAGGCTTTATTATCAGAAATTCTAGAGATTTTAAAGATTGTAATACAATTATTCGGCTTTATAATGCCCTTATTGAAAGCAAGTTATATTATGCATTCATAATTTGGTGTCCCCACTACAATATCCATGGAGCTCAACTCGAAGGCATAAGAAAATTTCTTAAATATCTGACTTATCGCAAGGATGGTGTTTATCCCCCTATTGGTTTTTCACAGTCTAGTCTTTTGAACGGTTTCAATATTTCTAGTTTTATGGACACTTGTAAAAAATTCTATGCTGTCTTTCTATTTAAACTTTTACACAATTGCATTGATTGCTCCCCAATTTTAGAGCAACTACATTTTAATGTGGGCCCTAGGAGTATAATATCTCGTCACTCTGCAATATTTCATCTAACGGCTTCAAGGACAGATGTTGCCAAATTTTCGCCATTTCTTACAATGTGTCGTATTGGTAATTGTGTTCCCAATAAAACTGACCTTTTCTCCGCCCCTTTACGTGCTGTTAAAGCAATTGATTATTCCCAAATTTGTCCATTTTGTTAAATCTACATCTCTTACCTTATTTTATTCGATAAGGATCATGCCGTCTCCAAATTGGAGTGATTTTCAGCTGCGGATCGCCGATTCTTATTGTACTGTTGGTCTGTAAGTGAGTTTGACCTGTTGACCACTTGTTTAGTAATAATAATGATATAATAATAATAATATAAGTATATTAAGAAAAAAGGCAAAATATAAGCCCCGCCCACCCACCCTATCTCAATTGTGATGATTTTTTTTAATCGTCGAGAGCCAAAGGAGCGGAATTTAATTGCAAAATCCCTATTATTTCTCTATAAGAAATTACCACGTAAGATGTGTTTTTAAGTATTGTGTTATTCAAAGAATACTCTGCAATTAAGAACAAAATAAAACCAAAAATTAAGCTCCACATATACCTGCCCTGATCTAAATAGTAATGGAGTTTTCATTCATTGGCAGACCTAGGGGCGGAGCCTAATTGCAAAATCCAAATTTACCATTTTAAACGTGTTTTAAGTTTCTAAGAATAAAAAAAATCATTATAATTAAGATGGGGCGGGTGGGCGTATTTATATTTTGCCTTTTTTTTCTATATATATATATATATATATATGCAAGTCGCCATGTTTGGGCTCTAGATTTCGAACGAAAAAGCATGTTCGGGCTCATGTGTTGTGTTTGGGCTCCGAGCCCAAAGCTGTTCAAGAGAATAACCAAATGTTCGGGCTCTTCGATCGAAGAGCCCTGGTTTCACCTGGTAGTCAAATACGGAACTCCCCAAACTGAATTACCGACATGTGTTGCGGGTTAGCCTAACTTAATGCCCACAAAGGGAAACAAACTCAAGAATCTCAACAGTCCATGTTTTGTCCCAACACGATAATAGCTGTGCATTTTAAACGTCATTTGAGAGATACGAAAGAGTTCAAACATTCATTTTGTTAAATCTTACAAAAAATTATATGTATGTATTTGGTAGTAATTAAATGCTCGTAACAGACATTAGAAAAGTAGAAAACGTTAATATCCAAGTGAAGAGAAAAAGCTAAAAAAGAGCAACTTTAATGCAGTGACAAAAATCGACTAAATAAAAGAATTTTAATAAATAACTTGAAATTATGACAGATCTAACATGAGCTTGCGTTTAGTTTAGGAGTATATTCATTTGAATTCGTTCTCAAAAAATGTTGTTGTCAAAAATACAATTTTTCTTAAAACATGACAAACAACAAAACATTAACTCTGCAGATAGTTGTCTTAAGACAAGTCGCCAATTAATTACCGAATATTATGTGAGGATTGATTTGTTGGACGAAACTGACGATTTCTTCTGAAATTCGAACCTTAGGATCGGATGATGCTCCTGCAAACGGCCTTATACTGTCTAATAATAGTGAAAAATGTAAAAAAATGAAACGGTAATTCATTGATTAAAATGGGCATGAAGAAGAGTGTTGGTACAGCGCAATTTTGAGAGCCCAAACATATGCTTTCGTACAGTGAAGGCGCCCAAACATTTGAATTTGTACTTGCAAAATGACGTAAATATAAATATAAATTTTTTCAAAACACGTAAAACCAAACAAATATTGACTTTGCAAATAATTGTCTTAAGAAAAATCGATAAATAGTTGTTAAAGATTACTCGAATTCGTTGAACGAAACGAACTTTTTTTCTGAAATTCCAACGTTTAGGATCCGTCGATGTTTCTAAAAAAGGCCCTCTACCATCGAATAAGAGTGAAAATCAAAAAGAGGGAAATTTTAGATCAGTGACAAATATCAATTTTCTTTTATTTTATAAGCATAAACATTTGAATTAAGTATCAAAAAATGACGTTACCACAAAGAAGATTTTTCTCAAAACAACGAAACATTGACTCTGCAGATGGGTTTCTCGAGAAAAATGGTCACTCAATTATTATCGATTATTTGAGAATACTTCTTTTGAAGGAAATTGGCTTTTTTTCTGAAATTTGGACCATAGATCGGTTGAAGCTTTTACAAAGGGACTTCTACTATCTAATTAAAGTAAAAAAGCTAAAAAAATAAACGATAATTCATTGACAAAAATGGACAAGAAGAAGAATATTGATAAATAATTTCGAAAATCAAACATATACTTTCGTACAGTTAAGGAGCCCAAACATCTGAATTCGTAAATAAAAAATGACGTAAATATAAATACAATTTTTTCAAAATATGCAAAACCAAATAAATATTGACTTTGAAAGCAATCTTCTTGAGAAAATTCATCAACTAGTTATTAAAGATTATTCGAATTCGTGGAACGAAACGAAATTTCTCTTCTGAAATTCCAACGTTTGGGATCCGTCGATGCTTCTACAAAAGGCCCTCTACCATCGAATAAAAGTGAAAATCAAAAAGAGGGAAATTTTAGATCAGTCACAAATATCAATTTTCTTTTATTTTATAAACATAAACATTTGAAATAAGTATCAAAAAATGACGTTACCACAAAGACGATTTTTCTCAAAACAACTAAACATTGCCTCCGCAGATAGGTTTCTCGAGAAAAATCGTCAATCAATTATTATAGATTATTTGCAAAATAGTTCTTTTGAGCGAAATAAGTTTCTTTCTAAAATTTGAACCTTAAGTCGGTTGTAGCTTCTGTAAAGTGACTTCTGCTGTCTAATTAATGTAAAAAGGCTAAAAAAATAAAACGTTTATTCATTGACAAATATGGGCATGCAAAAGAGTACTGATAAATAATTTCGAAATTATGAGAGCCCAAACATATGCTTTGGTACACTTAAGGAGCCTATACATTAGGATTCGTACTCAAAAAATGACGTAAATTTGAACACAATTTTTTGCCAAACATGGAAAAACAAACAAATATTGACTGTGCAAATAATTGTCTTAAGAAAAATCGTCAAGTGGTTATTAAAGATTATTCGAAGACTGCCTTGTTCAACGAAACTAAATGTTCTTTCTGAAATTGCAACGTTTAGGATCCTTTGATACTTCTACAAAAGACCCTCTACCATCGAATAAGTGTGAAAATCAAAACGAGGGAAATTTTAGATCAGTGACAAACATCAATTTTCTTGTATTTTATAAGCATAAACATTTTAATTAACTGTCAAAATATGACGTTACCACAAAGAAGACTTTTCTCAAAACAACTAAACATTGACTTTGCAGATGGGTTTCTCGAGAAA